TGAAAATCCAGACAAAAATGATCAATAGCTGTATCTGTACTTACAATACTATACCCCAAATATGTCTGTCTCTACCTTACCTTTTCTTCCTGTACCTCAAACACGGCTTCATGAACACTGCAAGCAAAGAGTGAGGTAGGCAAGTCACTTAAATCCATCATCTCTTCCAAATCATCTTCATTTTCTCCAAAAATCATCTGTTCTTCCTCTTCTTGGTCACTGCTGTAGAGGTCTGACTGGCTGTCACTCCAGGACTTCATGGTATCTCTGAGCATCGTTCACCCAAAGCAACTCTTCTTTATGTCCCAGTTTCTAGAAGAGATCTGCCATTCCAAAAACAAAACAAAAACAGAACATGAGGAAACCACATCTTGTTGCTTTGGCTGTTCTTCAAGGCAAATAGCTTTACAAGAAAGAAAACTTTTTCTCTCATCCACAAAACAGAAGCACCTATCCCATTTCTGTAAATAGGGTAAAGACACTCCTGTTCAACCTTTGAAAAAGGAGACAGTCACTCAGTCAACTAAACGAAATTTCTCCTCCCCTTATTCCGACATAAATCAAGAACTACAATAGTGTTCTAGAAGCTTTTCTCCATGACACTTTTCAGTTAATTGCAATTTCTTATTAAATAACTTAAAAGCACTTCCAGAGTCATCAGAATAGCCTTCTGACATTTGAAGAAGTATCTTTATTTCAGCAATGGGACCACATGCATACAGCAAAGTTAAATCATCTGTCCAAAGCCTTTCCAAGCCAGCGGCAGATGTGGGAACAAACCCCAAGGTCTCCTAATGTGAGGACATTTCCTCCTCCTAAGCAGCAGAGGATGCCTTTCCCATAGCTAAGAGTGTATCTACAGCCTTGGGTAAACACATCAAGGGACAAAAAAGTGCAAACAAGCAAGAGATTAAATAAAAGACTTTAGGTTACACACTAGTTTTTACACAATTAAAAAAATATTAACAGAGCACACTTTGCCACCTATCGCTGCAAAAATCGTGAAAAGGTTATCACAATACCATACATAGAAAGTATGTAACTGGACTACATCTCGATTTGCAGGTGTTAATTTGTGACATAAAACTAAGAAAAAGGTAAGTAAACATATGATGTTTTATTGGCAATTATCTCATTTGAATATCTTCTAATTATTTATTCTTTTAAGTAGTCACCGAGAAATGCTATCAGCTGAGACCAATATGCATTATAAATCTGTAACAAATCCATGCTCACGCACAGGAAAAAGTTTAAGACAAGTTTTCTAATTAACAACACCCAAACACTCTCAACACTTTGTTGTTGTTAAGGAGAAACAGCATGAGAAAATGAGGAAAAAAAGATTTAGTACCTATTTTAAGTGTTTACAAACGACTTAGAGACACAGCCCCAAGGTGTGACACTAAGTTAAATGAGTTAAATCAGTGTAACCTCGTTGTGGACCCACAAAAGCTGCCTGAAGCCATGTGTGCACACGCACATGTGACTGCACCAGTTCGATGTCACACCTTTAGTCAAACCATTACAAAGTCATGCACAGACCTGGCTAAATTTTCCCAGCACAGCACGCTTCAAAATTTTCACAGGAAACGCTCCTCAGCATCACAGAATGATGTAAATGCAAGAAAACATGTAGCTGGTAGAAACCCATTTTTTTTGTGCTCACTGATTCATGCAGAAAGGAAAGAGAAAAGGAAAAGAAAATACGCCAACACGGTAAAAACAAAAGCCACCATCTGGCTTGGCAGCACAGATTCCAGGAGAGTTCTGGGCTGATCGATCCAACATGCAACAGGACACAGACACCTACACTCAAGCCAAGCGACATGCGGACAGAATCCAGAGCAACATGCTTGCCTTACTGGTTTTGGTCCTGCCTCCCCACACATCCCTGTCAGAGAGGAGTGTGGAGCACAGCAAGAAACACCTAACCCACACGTGGCTGCTCCAAAAACCTGGTTTTCTGTCAAATTAAAGGATGATGAGACTTGCAAACAAGGCAAGAGAGCGAAACTGACACAGGAAAAGGAGAGTTTGAAAATGCTGGCGTGTAAATTCGAAGACTTAAATCATAGAATCACAGACTGGTTTGGGTTGGAAGGGACCTCAAAGATCATCCAGTTCCAACCCCCCTGCCATGGGCAGGGACACTCTCCACTACACCAGGTTGCTCAAAGCCTCATCCAGCCTGGCCTTGAACACTTCCAGGGATGGGGCAGCCACAACTTCTCTGGGCAACCTGGTCCAGTGCCTCACCACCCTCTGAGTGAAAAATGCCTTCCTTAGATCTAATCTAAATTAACGGTCAGTAAGACAGGCGGGAAGGTAACACAAAGATCAATATAAAATTTGGTCAAGTTGGCTGAGTTATGAAGAGCTTTAAAAAGTTCAGGCTGTCTGAGCCTCACACACTACAAAACGAAGGCACCAAAGTGGGCTGGAGGGATGCAAAAGCATCCAGAAAATAAGATTACTGGCGTCCACAACTACTGTGACTTACACTGTGCCTGCAGCAGTACTCCTCTCTTCATTCTGTTAGCACGCTGCAATCAGACATCACAATTAAAACGAGAAAGAATTTAACCCACAGATTATCAACTGAATCTGTTAGTCCTCCTTTAAATTTGTTACCATTGTTACTATTGTGTCGTTTAAGGAGCTGCCATCTGCAGACTCTTAATACCAAACGCTGCAGTGACCACAGACACGTTCCTCCGTTTGGTACATAGCACAGAGGAGCAGCACTTTGGGAAAAAATGAGCAAGAGATGGATCAAATGAAGGCAGGTCTAGGTTTTTATTTATACACGTAAGACACCTGAACTCCACGTTTCTGGCTAATATTCTGTACGACGAGAATTTGTATAGGCTCCTTGAATAGACACCAATGAGACAAGTATGCAAATATCTGCTTGAAAATAAAATAAAACTGATACTGTTAAAAAGAGCAATACAAGACACTTTCTAAAACATCAACTTAAAGACACAAACAAGACATTGCGCAGGGAGAAAAAAAATCCCACTTTTTCCTTCTTTCGTCAAATTTCGTTGAAGTAATGCAGAGAATTAAAATTAAGTTCAAAGTTCCAGCATGAGGAGGTTCTAAAGCTCTGAAACTGTTATTTTGTATTTTGAAAAAAAGACATCCAGGTTATTTCCATGTCTGTTTGGTATAATGGAACAGGGCAATTTTGTAAATGAAAAGGTGACAACATACAAAACAGAGCAAGGCAAGAATGACAGCCAGGTAAACAATACCATCAAGGAAAGGTCTTTGCCAAATCAACTTTGGAATTGGAGAGGGATCAATAACAAACAACTGAAATGTTTGCAAACAAATGCCAGGAGCTCAGATCTCCGAGAATCCCACACACACTGTAAGACAGGATGGGAATTAAAAAGAAAAGGAAAAAAGCCAACACAAAAGCCACAAGATCCACCTCCCCTTTCAATGTAATTTTAATTACAGTCAGCGATCCAAGCAACCTCTGAAGTAGATAAAGTGATGGCTGCAAGGTCACTACGATCTGCACCATGCACGAACTGGTCAGCAGTAAGAGAAACTGTCTAGTTAACATCTTCACATTAAGAAACTAAACTTGCAGCTCCTACATCTTTAGTCCTCTGTGTCTCGACTAATTCCCTGCAGTTCCATGTGAAACTGGCCATCAGCAACCACCCTTGTCTACCTGTGTATCCCTACCTTCAAAACACACACGGATTAAATCAAACTACCACGGCAAGACTGCTCAGGAACAGAGCTGAGATGACAGCCCTGGTGATCCTGCACTGCAGGCCTGTCTTCTGTTCACCACAAAAGATCTGCCCTGTAACCCTTTTACAGCGTAAATACCCTTGACATGAGAAAAATACTGCTTTTTGCTCAACAGCAGTTTGTGGTATTATAAAACACGGCAAATTCTGCACAGGCATGTGTTATCGCACAGAAAAGATGCTCTTCAGATTGGGAAAGAAGTTGAAGAATCCTGATGGAAAACACCCAAACCTGTCTAGGCACACTATACCCAGCTTTGTACGCAGCAAGCAGCCTCACTTGCTTCACGTTTCATTATACATGAATTCATTGTGTTGTAACATCTAAATACAGCAACACAATGTTTTACTGTAAGATATTTTCTGCTCTGTAAAAAGGCAGCAGATCTAAAATGTGTGTAAATGATAATGGGCAGCTGGGGCAGTTTAAACATCCCCATTGCCATGAAGTAAATTGCTTTTTTGTTTTTCCCTCAACTAGTAACAAAAATTTAATTACCAGAAATCATCTTATTCCTTTAGAGAACAAGAGCAGAATCTTGTACACTATTAAGCTGCAGAAGACAACACAGTTATTCCCATCAATTCCTGCAAACAGTCTGCAGGGAAAGTGATTTAATAAAAGCAATCTTAGTCAAAGTTAAGGAAACATTTCAGTAACAAGATCAATAGTTCTGTATAATTTACAGCACAGCATTAATTGCTAGTAAAAAACCAAAATCTAGAAAGCTTCTGTAGAAAACGCTACTTAATTATGTTTTCTTTTTAAAAAATATGAATGCATCACAGTTCTATTTTTTTTAATCATAAACCTACAAGGTTAATTCTGCTTTTCTCACAGATTACTTGCTTTTCCTGACTTCACCCAAATCAGTATCAAACCACCACGGTTACTGAGCAGTGCAGGATTTGTAACAGCTTCCCTGAAATAACGATGAGGCAGGTAAGACTCATGTATGAATGTTAATTAAGAAGCACTGTTGAAAATTGCACTGCGAGACGTGACATTTTAACAGACTGGGTAGAACTATTTTATTGTGCAATTATCAGAAAGCAACAAAACCAGAAAAAGAAATGCTCCCAAGGTCAATAGGTACACCAGTGTGTATTATCGGTGCAAGAGCCAAACTGCTCTGCTCCAGTTTCCCCTATGCAAAAAGGGAATTTACTTCACTTACCTCCTTGGAAAGGTGAGAAGTACCTATTTATAATAGTCTGATATAAATGAAGACATACAAATGCTACAATCAGCTAATTCTTACTGCAATAAACAATTTAGAATCACAAGCAAATTCACTGTGTAGACAACTGACAACACTTGTTAGCAAGCTTTCTGATCACTTGCTCCCTCTTAGATTTCAGATTAAACGGCTTTATGCAGCAGGACTAAAAGGATCCCAAGAACTAAAGCACTTCGGTAGGACCTTTTCCTAAGTCCTTTGTTCTCCTGAAAAGTAATACCTGATTATCATTCAAATACCAGGCGACAGGTACCTCTGAAA